TCGAGTCTTCAGTGAGCCATGAATGCACCATTCACTACACACTACAGCCCGGGCAACAGAGCAAGACCCTGTCTCTCTCTCTCTCTCTCTCTCTCTCTCTTTTTTTTTTTTTTTTTTTAAATTAAAGCTATCCAAGACCCTGTCTCTTAAAATAAAAATTAGGGCCAGACAAAGTGGCTCACAACTGTAATCCTAGCACTTTGGGAGGCTGAGGTGGGTGGATCACCTGAGGAAGCCATCATGATGAAACCCCATTTTGAAAAAAAAAAAAAAAAAAAATTAGGGACCGGGTGCGGTGGCTCACGCCTCTAATCCCAACACTTTGGGAGGCTGAGGCAGGCAGATCACCTGAGGTCAGGAGTTTGAGACCAACCTGGCCAACATGGCGAAACCCCGTCTCCACTAAAAATACAAAAAAATAGCTGGGTGTGGTGGCTCGTGCCTGTAGTCCCAGCTACTCAGATGAGGCAGGAGAATTGCTTAACCCAGCAGGCAGAGGTTGCCGTGAGCCAAGATCATGTAACTGCATTCCAGCCTGGGTGACAGAGCAAGACTCTGTCTCAAAATAAATAAATAAATAAATTTAAAATGTAGTCAGGCACAGTGACTCATGCCTGTAACACCAGCACTTTGGGAGGCCGAGGTGGGTGAAACTCCATGTCAGGAGTTCAAGACCAGCCTGACCAAAATGATGAAACCCCATCTCTACTAAAAATACAAAAAATTAGCCAGGCGTGGTGGCAAGCGCCTGTAATCCCAGCTGCTCGGGAGGCTGAGGCAGAGAACTGCTTGAACCCGGGAGGCAAAGGCTTCAGCGAGCTGAGATTGCGCCACTGCACTGCCTCCTGGATGACAGAGCAAAACTCCGTCTCAAAAATAAATAAAATGAAATAAAATGCGAATAGTTCCTTATTCTCTGCAGCACTCATTCACTCATTCGCTCGCTTGTTAATTCAACAAACCTTTATGGAGTCAAGCACTGCAAAGCTGGGTAGTCCCCATTTTTCCCCTCTACCTTTTTCTTCCAATTAAGCTGAGCTTCCCTGAACCCCAAATAATCCTTTGACCTCCCAATCCATGCAGATCCCTCCTCAGATGCTGAAGCTCGCACTCTAATTCTGTGGCCTGAACGCAGTGGCTCTCCACAGGGGCAGTGCCACCCCTTAGGGGTTGTTTTGTGAATTTTTAGGAGGGGATGTTTTGGTCACAGTGAGTGATGCTGGACCTCTGGCATTAATGGGGATCAGTTGTGTCCTACACCATGCCGGACAGTCTCACTCAGTGAAAAACTGTCAGTCGTCCACCATCATTTTCAGAATGCCCCATGGCCATCCCTGTACATAAAAACAGGTTAATAATTGAGTAGAGAATCTAAGTTCATTTTTTATATAAACACAAACGTATAAGCATGATTTTAATCCTGACTTTTCCAAGAAGGCAGACACATGTGTAAACTGAAGAAAGATTATATTTTGTTTTGTCTGGAATATTATCAGAAATTGTCGTTTCGCAAAATCTTGACACAGATGGCAGCATTTGTAGAATTTGAATCACCAACACCACTCACCTGTGACACTCTGAAACTGTGGCTGCTATATTCATAGAAATCCTATAAGGCAGTGCAAGCATATGACAACTTCGATATGACCATTTAACCAAATATCCTAGTAAAGCCCTACACAAGCATTTACATACTGACATATACATTACTTAAAATTTTTTTTTTTTTTTTTTTCCGAAACATAGTCTTGCTCTGTTGCCTAGGCTGGAGTGCAGTGGTGAGATCTCGCTCACTGCAACTTCTGCCTCCAGGTTCAGGAGATTCTCCTGCCTCAGTGCCTCTCGAGTAGCTGGGATTACAGGCATGTGCCACCAGGCCCAGCTAACTTACTTTTTAAATTTTTATTTATTTATTTTTTGAGACGGAGTTCCTCTCTTGTTGCCCAGGCTGGAGTGCAGTGGCACAATCTCAGCTCACTGCAGCCTCTGCCTCCAGGGTTTGAGCAATTCTCCTGCCTCAACCTGCCAAACAGCTTGGACTACAGGCATGCGCCACCAAACCTGGCTAATTCTGCATTTTCAGTAGAGACGGGATTTCTCTGTGTTGGTCAGACTGGTCTTGAACTCCTGACCTCAGTTGATTCGCCCGCCTCGGCCTCCCAAAGTGCTAGGATTACAGGCATGAGCCACCTTGTCTGGCCAATTTTCATACTTTTAATAGAGATGGTGTTTCACCATATTGGCCCAGTTGGTCTTGAATGTCTGACCTCATAATTTGCCTTCCTTGGCCTCCCAAAGTGCTAGAATTACAGGTGCGAACAATGGCACCCGGCCAAAAAATAAAAATTTTTTTGAGACAGGTTCTGGCTCTGTTTCGCAGGCTGGATTACAGTGGCACCATCTCAGCTCACTGCAACCTCTGCCTCCTGGGCCTCAGCCATCCTCCCATCTCAGCCTCTGGAGTAGCTGGAACTACAGGCTGACATCACCATGCCCAGCTAATTTTTTTTTTTTTTTTTACTTTTTTTAGAGACATTGCCCAGGATGGTCTCAAACTCCTGAACTTAAGTAGCCCACCTGCCTCAGGTGGAAAGTGTTGGGATTACAGATGTGAGCCACTGTGCCTGGCTGTATTTAAAATTTTTTATAAAGAATAATGTAGCCGGGCGCGGTGGCTCAAACCTGTAATCCCAGCACTTTGGGAGGCCGAGGCGGATGGATCACGAGGTCAAGAGATCAAGACCATCCTGGTCAACATGGTGAAACCCCGTCTCTACTAAAAATACAAAAAAATTAGCTGGGTATGGTGGCACGTGCCTGTAATCCCAGCTACTCAGGAGGCTGAGGCAGGAGAATTGCCTGAACCCAGGAGGCGGAGGTTGCGGTGAGCGGAGATCGCGCCATTGCACTCCAGCCTGGGTAACAAGAGCAAAACTCCGTCTCAAAAAAAAAAAAAAAAAAAAAAAAGAATAATGTAATACAGGCCAGGCATGGTGGCTCATGCCTGTAATCCCAGCACTTTGGGAGGCTGAGGTGGGCAATCACCTGAGATCAGAAGTTTGAGACCAGCCTGGCCAAGATGGTGAAACTCTGTCTCTACTAAAAATACAAAAATTAGCCAGTTGCGGTGGCAGGCACCTATCATCCCAGCTCTCGGTGGGAGGCTGAGGCAGGAGAATCGCTTGGATCTGGGAGGTGGAGGTTGTAGTGAGCCCAGATCATGCCACTGCACTCTAGCCTGGGTGACAAAGCAAGACTCCATCTCAAAAAAAAAAAAAAAAAAAAAAAAAGAATAATGTAATATGTAATACAGAAAAGTGCACAAATCCTAAGTGAAGGCTCAATGTGTTGTCACAAAGTAAACACACCCACATAACCAGTACCCAGATCAAGAAACCAAAATATTGGCTGGGCATTGTGGCTTATGACTGTCATCCTAGCACTTTGGGAGCTGAGGCAGGGGAGGATTGGGTGAGGCCAGGAGTTCAAGACCAGCCTGAGACCCTCCTCTCTATAAAATTACATATACATATATATATATAGCCGGACGTGGGGGTTCACACCTGTAGTCCCAGCTACTTGGGAGGCTGAGGTGGGTGAATTGCTTGAGATCAGGAGTTCAAGACTGCAGTGAACCATGATCACATCACAACACTGCACTCCAGCTTGGCAACCGAGTAAGACCCTGTCTCCATTTTTTTTTTTTTTTTTTTTTTTTTTTACTCTACTTCCCTCTCCAACCAAGACTCTGTCTCTAAAAACGAAACAAAACATTTGTAGCATCCTAAATGTTCTTCACGTCCCTCCTAGTTACCACCCTACCACGAGGGTGACCACTAGTTAAATTTATTTTTCTTTCTTATTTATTTATTTGTGTGTGTGTGACGTAGTCTCACTCCCTCACCAGGCTGAAGTGTAGTGGTGTAATCTCAGCTCATGGCAACCTTGGCCTCCTGGGTTTAAGCAATTCTCTGCCTCAGCTGGGGTTACAGGCACATGCCACCACACCCAGCTAATTTTTGTATTTATAATAGAGATGAGGTTTCACCATCTTGACCAGGCTGGTCTTGAACTCCTGACTTCGTGATCCACCCGCCTCAGCCTTCCAAAATGCTGGGATTACAGGCGTGAGCCACCTTGCCCAGCCTTATTTTTCTTTATTTTCTGGTAGAAATGGGAGTCTTGAATGTCTAGCCTCAAATAATCCTCCCACCTCAGCCTCCCAAGTAGCTGGTATTACGAGTGTCAGCCACCATGCCCACCATGTAGTTGTAATTTTTATTTTTATTTATCTTTTTTTTTTTTTTTTTGAGACAGAGTCTCTCTCTGCTGCCCAGGCTGGAGTGCAGTGACACAATCTTGGCTCACTGTGACCTCTGCCTCCCCAGTTCAAGCGATTCTCATGTCTTAGCTTCCCGAGTAGCTGGGATTACAAGCGCCCACCACCACGTCCAGCAAATTTTTTGTATTTTTAGTAGAGATGTCGTTTTGCTATGTTCGCCAGGCAGCTCTCAAACTCCCAACTTCAGGTGATCCGCTTGCCTTGGCTTTCCAAGGCAAGATCTGCTTGCCTTGGCTTTGTAATGCTGGGATTACAGGCATGAGCCAATGTGTCCAGCTTATATTGATTTTTTTTTTTTTCTTTTTCAAGGTGGAGTCTCACTCTCATCTCGCAGGCCGAAGTGCAGTGGTGGGATCTCAGCTCACAGTAACCTCCACCTCCTGGGTTCAAGTGATTCTCCTCCCTCAGCCTCCCAAGTAGCTGGGATTACAGATGGGTGCTACCATGCCCAGCTAATTTTTGTATTTTTAGTAGAGATGGAGTTTCACCATGTTGACCAGGCTGGTCTTTAACTCCTGACCTCAGGTGATCCACCGCCTTGGCCTCCCAAAGGTCTGGGATTACAGCTGTGAGCCACCACGCCTGACCTATATTGACTTTTTTTTTTTCAAGAGACACTGTTTTGCCGAACGCCAGTCCCTGAGCGGCGGTAGCAGCAATGGCGATTTTTAGTGTGTATGTGGTGAACAAAGCTGGCGACCTGATTTACCAGCTGGACAGCTACTCGCCGCGGGCTGAGGCTGAGAAAACTTTCAGTTATCCGCTGGATCTGCTGCTCAAGCTACACGATGAGCGTGTGCTGGTGGCTTTCGGCCAGCGGGACGGTATCCGAGTGGGCCATGCAGTGCTGGCTATCAATGGCATGGACGGGAATGGCAAAGTACACGGCCGACGGGAAAGAGGTGCTGGAGTATCGAGTAACTCTGCTAATTATCCGGTGTCCATTCGATTTGGCCGGCCCCGCCTCAATTCTAATGAGAAGCTCATGCTGGCCTCTGTGTTCTGCTCGCTCTTTGCCATCGGCTCTCAGCTGTCTCCTGAACAGGGAAGCTCAGGCATTGAGATGCTGGAGACAGATACATTCAAATTGCACTGCTACCAGACACTGACAGGGATCAAATTTGTGGTTCTAGCAGATCCTAGGCAAGCTGGAATAGATTCTCTTCTCCGAAAGATTTATGAGATTTACTCAGACTTTGCCCTCAAGAATCCATTCTACTCCTTAGAAATGCCCATCAGGTGTGAGCTATTTGACCAGAATTTGAAGCTAGCCCTGGAGGTGGCAGAGAAGGCTGGAACTTTTGGACCTGGGTCATAGGCTGAACCTGCGATGGACCCCCACATTCTGAGAGTTCCTGCAACAGGAATACTGTTTCCACTCCGGTGGAGATTCCAGCAGCCTTGTTAGTGCACTTGAAAATGGGAAAATGCTGACCCTGATGACATGTGCTGATTCCTGAGCCTTCACACTATGCTGTTTCCTTCTGTATATATCGTGGTCTTATTTTCCAACTCTGTACAGATTTATTTATGGGGGAGAAAGGTCCATAAATGTTGTAATAAACATTCCTTTGATCTTCAGAAAAAAAAAAAAAGCCAGAGTTTCAGCCATTAGCCAGGATGGTCTCAGTCTCTTAACTTTGTGATCCTCCGGCCTCAGCCTCTACATTGACTTTTAAAAATAGTATTATAGATGTTTTACTTCTCTGTTCATTTATTTCGTCAGAGTAAAAGGAGTGCTCAAAATATCTTTTTTTTTTTTTTTTTTTGAGGTGGAGTCTCTCTCTGTCACAAGTGCAATGCAGTTGTGTGATCTCGGCTCACTGAAACCTCCGCCTCCCAAGTTCAAGCAATTCCCTGCCTCAGCCTCCCAAGTAGCTGGGATTACAGGCACCCACCACCACACCCAGCTAATTTTTGTATTTTTAGTAGAGACAAGATTTCACCATTTTGGCCAGGCTGGTCTTGAACTCCTGACCTCATGATCCACCCGCCTCAGCCTCTCAAAGTGCTGGGATTACAGGCATGAGCCACCATGCCTGGCCCAAAATATTTATTTATTTATTTATTATTTTTTAATTATTATTATTATTTTTTGAGACAGAGTTTCACTCTTGTTACCCTGGCTGGAGTGCAATGGCGCCATCTCGGCTCACCGCAACCTCCGCCTCCTGGGTTCAGGCAATTCTCCTGCCTCAGCCTCCTGAGTAGCTGGGATTACAGGCACATGCCACCATGCCCAGCTAATTTTTTGTATTTTTAGTAGAGACGGGGTTTCACCATGTTGACCAGGATGGTCTCGATCTCTTGACCTCGTGATCCACCCGCCTCGGCCTCCCAAAGTTCTGGGATTACAGGCTTGAGCCACCGCGCCCGGCCCATTTCAGATTTTAACAGGCTGCTCTCCTCATCTTTGCCCTCTCTCCAATCCTCCCTTCTCCCCTCCCGACATCCTCACCTCAGCCCTATCATTTTACCACTCAGCTCCTCCAAACCTGACCCCTGCCAATCATTGCTCCACCAAATAAAGGGGGCAATCACAGAACTGGTGGCAGGTGGCTCTCAACATGGGAAAGAGGAGGTAGGCCATGGACAGGATCAGCTTTCTCACTTCAAAAAACCAAAACAAAATAAAATTTAAAAACTAGCCGGGTAGTGGTTCACACCTGTAATTCCAGCACTTTGGGAGGCTGAGGTAGAAGGATGGCTGGAGGCCAGGAGTTTGAGGCTGTAATGAGCTATGATCACACCACTGTACTCCAGCCAAAGTCTTTATTTTTAGAGACAGAGACAAAGCAAGACTCTGTCTCTAAAAATAAAAATTTAAAAAAAAAAAAAATTAGGCCAGGAGCAGTGGCTCTCACATGTAATCCTAGCTTGGGAGGCCGAGGTGGGCAGATCAGTTGAGGCCAGGAGTTCTAGACCAGCCTAGCCAACATGGTAAAACACAGTCTGTACTAAAAATACAAGAAATTGGGCCAGACGCAGTGGCTCACGCCATAATCCCAGCACTTTGGGAGACCGAGGCTGGTGGGTTACAAAGTTAGAAGTTGAAAACCAGCCTGGCCAAGATGGTGAAATCCTGTCTCTATTAAAAATACAAAAATTAGCTGGGCATGGTGGTGGGCTCCTGTAATCCCAGCTACTCAGGAGGCTGAGGCAGAGAATTGCTTAGGAGGTAGAGGCTGCAGTGAGCTGAGATCGTGCCACTGCACTCCATCCGGGGCAACAGAGTGAGACACCGTCTCAAAAAAAAAAAACTGTCCAGGTGCAGTGGCTCACGCCTGTAATCCTAGCACTTTGGGAGGCTGAGGTGGGTGGATCATTTGAGGTCAGGAGTTCGAGACCATCCTTGCCAACATGGTGAAACCCCACCTCTACTAAAAATACGAAAATTAGCTGGGCGTGGTGACGCATGCCTGTAGTCCCAACTCCTCAGGAGGTTGAGGCAGGAGAATCGCTTGAACCTGGGAGGCAGAGGTTTCAGTGAGTAGAGATCATGCCACTGCACTCCAGTCTGGCGACAGAGTGAGACTCCGTCTCAAATAATAATAATAATAATTAGGCCGAGCGCGGTGGCTCAAGCCTGTAATCCCAGCACTTTGGGAGGCCGAGGCGGGTGGATCACGAGGTCGAGAGATCGAGACCATCCTGGTCAACATGGTGAAACCCCGTCTCTACTAAAAATACAAAAAATTAGCTGGGCGTGGTGGCGCATGCCTGTAATCCCAGCTACTCAGGAGGCTGAGGCAGGAGAATTGCCTGAACCCAGGAGGCGGAGGTTGCGGTGAGCCGAGATGGCGCCATTGCACTCCAGCCTGGGTAACAAGAGCGAAACTCTGTCTCAAAAAAAAAAATAATAATAATAATAATTGGCTGGGCGCAGTGGCTCATGCCTGCAATCCCAGCACTTTCGGAGGCCAAGGTGGGTGGAGCATGACGTCAGGAGACAGAGACTAGCCTGGCCAACATGGTGAAACCCCTTATCTAAAAATACAAAAATTAGCCAGCTGTGGTGGTGGGCGCCTGTAGTCCCAGCTACTCAGGAGGTTAAGGCAGGAGAATCACTTAAACCTGGGAGATGGAAGTTGCAGTGAGCTAAGATTGCACCACTGCACTCCAGCCTGGGCGACAGAGTGAGAATCGTCCAAAAAAAAAAAAAAATTAGCTGGATGTGAAAGCATGTGCCTGTAGTCTTGGCTACTTGGGAGGCTGATGCACGAGAATCACTTGAACTTGAGAGGCAGAGGTTGCAGTGAGCCAAGATTGTGCCACTGCACTTCAGCCTGGGTGACAGAACAACTCTGTCTCAAAAAAAAAAAAAAAAAAAAAAAATTTAGCAACCTGAAGTAGCTGGCCAAAGTAGAAGAGCCCCTAGGGAAGTCTTGAAAGCTCCTCAACAGGAGAGTTAAACTGGGCAGGAATGTGCTGAAATGGCTGAACCAAGTACTTCAGGGTACAGAGGGACTGAAGCTCAGAAAAGCAGCAGACCCTGTGATAATCTTGCACACAGGAATATAAATGCAGTGATATAAACTCTAAACTCTCAGGGAGGCAGGCATGGTGGCACACACCTGTGATCCCAGCACTTTGGGATGCTGAGCCAGGAGGATTTATTGAGCCCAGGAGTTTGAGACCAGCCTGAGCAACAGAACAAGACTTTGTCTATACTAAAATTTTTTTTTAGTTATAACATTGGTCAGGCATGGTGGCTCATGCCTATAATTCCAGCACGTTGGGAAGCCAAGGCAGGCAGGTTACCTGACGTCAGGAGTTTGAGACCAGGCTGGCCAACACAGTGAAACCCCGTTTCTATTGAAAATACAAAAATTAGCTGGGCATGGTGGCCTGTGCCTGTAGTCCCAGCTACTCGGGAGGCTGAGGCAGGAGAATGGCTTGAACCCAAGAGGTGGAGGTTGCAGTGAGCCGAGATCATGCCACTGCACTCCAGCCTGGGTGACAGAGCGAGACTCCATCTCAAAAAAATAAAAATAGGACAGGCACAGTGGCTCATGCCTGTAATCTCAGCACTGTGGGAGGCCAAAGTGGGCAGATCACGAGGTCAGGAGATCGAGACCATCCTGGCCAACATGGTAAAACCTTGTCTCTACTAAGAATACAAAAATTAGCGGGGCATGGTGGTGCATGCCTGTAGTCCCAGCTACTCAGGAGGCTGAGGCAAGAGAATCACTTGAACCTGGGAGGTGGAGGTTGCAGTGAGCCAAGATTGTGCCACTGCACTCCAGCCCGGTGACAGAGCGAGACTCTGTCTCAAAAAAATAAATAAATAAATAAATAAATTTAACTTTAAAAATTAGCTGAGTGTGGCAGTGCACACCTGTGATCCCAGCTACTCAGGAGGCTGAGGTGGGAGGATCACTTGAGCCCAGGAGGTCAAGACTGCAGTGAGCCATGATAGCACCACTGCACTTTAGCCTGGACGACAGAGCAAGACCCTGCTTAAGAAAAAAGAAATATGGGCCGCCCCTCGTCTAAACAGACCCTGAGTTTCTGAATCATGACACACTGAAGTGCACCACCAGCCACACCACCAGCCCCACTGGAGGCTGTGTGGGACCTCTTGCTACCGTCGGCACACACTGGGGCATGCCCTTCAGTGTGTCCACCACCTTCATAGGCAATGGGCAAAGTTGAAGTTGTTGAAATGGGAAGTCACAAAAAAAGCAGAGCTGAGACTTCAAGACCACAAGGGCTAACATTTGCTGGCCTGGCTAAGGGCCAAGACTGCCACTGTCTACCTTAGACTTCAATTTGATGAACTCTAGCACCTCAAGTTAGGGTCGCACGGGTAGGCCCCTCCTACCAAATACTCAGGTCCAGGATTTTTCTTTGGACTATATCTTTTGCCCTTGGTGTCATTGACTTCAAAAGATCTAGAGAATTAAAACTCAGATTAAGGCCAGGTATGGTGGCTTATGCCTGTAATCCCAGCACTTTGGGATGCCAAGGCGGGCAGATCACTTGAGGCCAGGAGTTCAAGATCAGCCTAACCAACACGGTGAAACCTCATTTCTACTAAAAATACAAAAAATTAGCCGGTCGTGGTGATGAGCACCTCTAGTCCCAGATACTTGGGAGGCTGAGACATAAGAATCGCTTGAACCCAGGAGGTGGAGGTTGCAGTGAGCTGAGATTGTGCCACTGCAATTCAGCCTGGGTAACAGAGTGTCTCAAAAACAAAAAATAAAACAAACAAAAAAAACAAAAAACTCAGGTTTAGGCCTGCTCTGATTTTGAAGGTTTTTGTGGGGTTTCACTCTTTTTTTTTTTTTTTTTTTTTTTTTTTTTTTTTTTGAGACGGAGTTTCGCTCTTGTTACCCAGGCTGGCGTGCAATGGCTCGATCTTGGCTCACCGCAACCTCCGCCTCCTGGGTTCAAGCAATCCTCCTGCCTCAGCTTTCCGAGTAGCTGGGACTACAGGCATGCACCACTATGCCCAGCTAATTTCTGTATTTTTAGTAGAGATTGGGTTTCACCATGTTGAACAGGATGGCATCGATCCCTTGACCTCGTGATCCACCCGCCTCAGCCTCCCAAAGTGCTGGGATTATAGGCGTG